ACAAAAACTACGTCGAAAATGTTGGGTAGTAACCTAATGATACATCTGTTAGTTTCGGTGACTACGTTGCCATCTGGTGTTCTTGCAATAGGCGCACCAATGCATTGTTTACTGTAATGCACGCTGCGCATCCCGTTGATCGAAACGTTTAGCAATTCTGAAAGTTACTCTATCGTAAACCACATACAGACGATTTGTTCTTATGCATGGTTTTAGGATGGAGCCCTACTGGTGTGAAGGAAGTCGATCACGCGGCATGGTCAGTGGGACAGCTAAACCCTCCAAGATTTGCTCATTCGTTTCGATGGTGAATTTATGTTGACGACTGTCAGCAGGTCAAATCCCGCCATAGCGTCATTGCAGTTCGTAAAAGAGGGAGCCGTCGACTGCCCTGCCAGCGAGTAAGCGTTGTTGGCACTTGCTACCATATATGCCATTTCTCAGAGCTTTGCATGGCGAGCAAATGTAGCGAGAAGGATTTTTCTCGGACTTGGCCTGTTCTATTGTTCAGCTGAAAACGCCCCCACAAATTGCTTCTTAGCACTGAGCTGAAAGTGCAAATTAATATTCCTACTGCTTTTGCTAGCTTCCCAGATCATTCCTCCTTTCCTGGGCAAGCATGAATTAGGTGCATTCCAGCATGATGAACTAAGTGGGACCAGTAGTCATCGAACTGAGTTGTCGAAGTGTAGACGGTTCGGTTTTCTTCGAAGAGCACTGTTTCATTTAACAGAAATAGGGAACTGCTCTTTATGTTACTAAAATGGAAAAAGTAAACGACGCTTCGTCTTTCTACGTACGTGATCATACAGATTAACACAGAGAAAACAAAAGAGTACGAAATAAACAGTATCCTCCAATCGGCACTGTGCAGGTGTCACTGTAACAATCCGTTCCGAAATGTTCGCATCGGAAGCATTCCAGCATACGTGCATGCTGTGCTGAAAAAATTCCGTAAAAGGAAGAAAAAATAACGTGACCGTACTGTGTTGGCATCATCGTGATAGAGATGATAAAAGAGATCTCGTAGGAGCAAAAAAATTCAGCAAATTGGAAAGAAGGAGTTGGTGATGCGACAGCCTTACTGGTCGATTGTACACCGAAGCAAAGGAGCAATACACAGGCGGTATTAATTCGTTGAAGTGATAAAGTATTCTACACAACATAATTTATACAAAACCCAGGCTGGGACGCACCGGGCGGGCCAGTGCATTCATATATTTTTGCACCAGACTTGAAGTACTCAGGTCATTAATTGCATGAGTGGTTGTTGCTTTACACCTACCTTCTGCAGTCACCAGCATAAAACATCATAAATTTTACATAAAGTAAATGTACAATTTCCATTTAACGATCGCTTTTTATAAGTAACCTAGTTGTTCAATCAGAAATTCAGCAAAATTTTTAATTGCCCGTGCGTAAGAACCATGCATACCTCAAGACTGAATTTGAAATACTAATTTGTACCTAGGCAGGAAACATCCCCCAAAATTTCAGCTTTCTAACTTTTCTGGTTCCCAAGTTAGTAATTTTACCGGAGAAAATTTCATACGCCCGTACTTGAGTAACACGCATACCTGAGGCTGGGTTTGAAATATTTAAGTTGTGCTTGGGAGGGGACATTCCCCTAAAATTTCACCCTTCCAGCTTTTCTGGCACCCGAGTTAGCAATTCCCCTCCTAAAACTTTCATACGCTCTTACGTGAGTACCACGCATAGCTGGGGGCTGAATTCGAAACCTTTAGCCAGTACTTGCACAGGAAATATTCCTACAAAGTTTCAGCCCCTTAGCTTGTGTGGTTCCCGAGCTCGCTTTCCCGCCAAGAAATTTGGATATTTTTTAAAGGGTCCGTACACTTCGCCCAGGGATGATAGTAAAAAGGGAGGGTCGCGCATGGTATGGTTCCAAAGTTTCAGCCCTCTGTCTTTTCTCGTTCCCGAGTTTATCAATTTTCCCGCCAAAACTGTCACCCCTTCGTACGCGGGGCCCAGACGTACGTGAAAGTTGGTACCGCGATTCTGGGTTGACACTTGGGTGGGGTACCCATTAGCAAAATCTCAGCGCTGGAACTTGCTTGGTTGCCGAGTTGGAATGCGAGGACAGGCGAACACACACACAGACATACATACACACATACACAGACAGGATCGTTGCAGTATGCGTTTTTGCAGTTTGCATATAGGCAAAAGCGCATAAGTATACGAGTGACAGTCTTATGTGAGGAAAAATTATTAGAAAGGAAGAACTAATAATATTACTTTTTAAGTTCTGCTGTATTTCTTTAGTATTCAGGCTGAAATCACAGCCTATGCTTTTATGTGCGTTTCAGCTTACTGCCAACGATACTGATTAGACATATCTATCCATTACTACTACCACTGGTGAAGATGACGGTTTCGAAATCAGTACTTTTGTGAATTTCCTTATCTTTTGCGCTTATTTTTCTGTTTTATGAAACATTCCTGTTCAGCAGTTTAATTCCAGTTTGATGCTATTTTCTTAATTTTAGTGAAATATGTCTTTAAAGTACTGCCGAAATAGAAACTTAAATTCAAAAATCTCGCTCTATAAACCGGGCAAGTTTCGTTATGTACAAGCGATGAAACAGCAATTGTTCGTAATATATCTATAGGCCAGATCATCAGAAACACATTACCAATAAAGCAGAACAGGGCACTGGTGAAGCCTTACGCTATTTAATCATATACCAGCTCCGTTGTAGAAAGTCATCCTTTGGTACTTTATATTAGATGCTTTGGGGGAGCACACAAGA